CCCTAGGGGAGGCTGGGGACCGAACCCGGGTCAGCCGCGTGTAAGGCCAACACCCTCCCCGCTGGGCTATGGCACTGGCACTGGTGCTGGTCTTTCTGTCCTGACTTGTGTCTTTGAGAGACGTCATAGAGCTCAACTCCAGCTCGGACAAAATGGGGTGCATTTATTTTAGGGCCCGCGAGGCAGCCCCAGACCCTTCATATTTTATAGTTTGGTTTCTCTCAACACACCTGTTACATGGAAAACGGTGTTTGGGGTGCAGGTGGTTTTTATCGATTTAGGTATTAGCTTGGGGGGGGCACACCTGGCAGTGCTCAGGGCTGACTCCTCGCTCGGTGCTCAGGGATCACACCTGGCAGGGATCAGGGAGCAAATTAGGATGAGGGGGATGGAACCAAGTCAGACCAGTGCCTGGGCGGTGCCCTCCCCGCCGGCCCATTTCTCTGGCTCTGGGACTGAACACTTGAGTGACTTTGCCCTTCCCTTGCTCTGCCGTGGTATTTGCCAAGGTGGAGAGAATCAATATTATGATAGAGATCCTATTGACAGATGGGAATATGTCCAACAAGGAAGAGGATCGGGGGTTGCTCTGTTTGCCGAGGGCTGGGGAGACACGAGCCCAGGGGAGGCTTAGGAAAGTTCTTCCCATGCGACGTTCACTTTTATTTGATTGATTGCTTTTGGGGTCACACCCGGCGATGCTCAGGGCTGACTCTGGCTCTGCACTCAGGGATCACTCCTGGCGGTGCTCAGGAGACCCTATGGGATGCCGGGGATCGAACCCGGGTTGCCAGGTGCCAGGCAAACGCCCTCCCCACTGAGCTATCCCTCTGACCCCTGGTTTTGTGGGGTTTTTTGTTTGTTTTTTGCTTTTTGGGTCCCACCCGGCGATGCTCAGGGCTGACTCCCGGCTCTGCACTCAGGGGTCACTCCTGGTGGTGCTCGGGGGACCCTAGGGGATGCCGGGGATCGAACCTGGATTGGCCACGTGCCAGGCAGACGCCCTCCCTGCTGTGCTATTGCTCCGACCCCCTAAATTTTCTCTTTTTTGTCTTTGCTTTTTTGGGTCCCACCCGGCGATGCTCAGGGCTGACCCCTGGCTCTCCACTGAGGAATCACTCCTGGCGGTGCTCAGAGGACCCTAGGGGATGCTGGGGATCGAACCCAGGTCGGCTACGTGCAAGGCCAGCACCCTCCCCCCTGTGCTATCGCTCTGGCCCCCTTCCCTCTTTATTATTATTATTATTTGGCCTTTTGGGTCCCACCTGGCGACGTTCAGGGCTGACTCCCGGCTCTGCACTCAGGAATCACTCCTGGCGGTGCTCGGGGGACCCTAAGGGATGCCGGGGATCGAACCCGGGTCAGCCGTGTGTCAGGCCAACGCCCTCCCTGCTGGACAACTGCTCCATCCCCCAAAGCCCTTTATGGGGGGGAGGGGCTTATGCTCAGCTGGTACCTTAGTGCATTTCCAGGCACTTGCTCTAAATCTAATGGGCTCTTTGGTTGGGGGGAGGGGCGGGGAGGGTCAGCCCAGCCATGAACATAAAGAAAGACAGAGCATGCTGAGGGGAGCAGGGCTGAGGGGGAGTGTGGGATGGCCCACTGGTTAGAGCCCAGCCACAACAAACCCTCCAGCCTCAAGGGAAACTGCAAATACAAAAGATAGTGTGGGCTCTTCTCCTGCCAGTTTTCCCTCGTTTGTCTGCAGCGTCAGAGGCTCTTACTGGAAATCCCACGCAGGGAAGTCCCTCCAGAGGGCCGAAATCCCAAGGTGACGGGCGCGGCAGCTAGGAAACAGCCGGGCTCGGCAACACGGCGCCTTGCAGTTACTTGGGGGAATGAGGGGGAGAAAGAGCGAGATACGTTCCTTCCATGGTCGGATGGGAGCCTGCACCCAGAAACCACTTGGGTGTGTTTATGAGTCGAAAGTCTTTCTCGAACCCCCTCCACTGGCTGCGTGGCTGCCGCCTCGGGCAGCTGGGTTTGTGATTCCCTCCATAGAATGTTCTAGAACTGTGGGCTGGAGCAATAGCACAGAGGGTAGGGTGTTTGCCTTGCACGCGGCCGACCCGGGTTCGATCCCCGGCATCCCCTAGGGTCCCCCGAGCACCGCCAGGAGTGATCCCTGAGTGCAGAGCCAGGAGTAACTTCTGGGCATCGCTAGGTGTGACCCAAAAAGAATGTTCTAGAACTGTGCAATTCAAGGTGGCAGACACCAGGCATGCATGCCTGGCTAGTGAGCCTTTGAAAGATGGTTAGTTTCGGGGGGGCAGAGTAATAGTTCAACATAGAGGGTAAACGTTTGCCTGGCTGGGTTCGATCCCCGGCATCCCCTAGGGTCCCCCAAGCACCACCAGGAGTGATTCCTGAGTGCAGAGCCGGGAGTCAGCCCTGAGCATCGCCAGGTGGGACCCAGAAAACAATCAATCAGTCAATCAATCAATAAAGAGTGATGAACCAGGGACCTGGGCAATAGCACAGCAGGTAGGGCATTGGCCTTGCACACGGCCGACCCGGGTTCGATCCCTGCATCCCATAGGGTCCCCCGAGCACCGCCAGGAGTGATTCCTGAGTGCAGAGCCGGGAGTTAGCCCTGAGCATCGCTGGGTGGGACTCAAAAAGAAAAAAGAAAGCAGTAATATTATGAGTGTGCTATTAATATATTGTAGTAATAAAATACTGTGTCCAAAGACTTCAGTATATTATCAGTATAATAGGAAAATTACATTATGTCCCTAGAAAATATTAGGTTTTTTTTAATGACTTTGGGGGCCAGAGAGAAAGCACAGTGGGTAGGGTGCTCGCCTTCTACGTGGCCGACCCGGGTTCGATCCCCGGCATCCCATAGGGTCCCCCGAGCACCACCAGGAGTGATCCCTGAGCGCAGAGCCGGGAGTCAGCCCTGAGCATCGCCGGGTGGGACCCAAAAGGCAAAAATAAACAAATCAATGAAAGTTTTTCTCCTCAACACTTGGTGACTTTCCCCTCCTCTCTGCTCACTGTGCCCATCTGAGATCTCTTTTTTGGGGGGCGTGTAACTGATTCTTCACTTACTGGGACGGGAAAACAGACTGAGGCCCTGTCGCCAGCCTCCGTGACATTGGGGTGGGAAGGGAGAGAGAACCGGAACGAACTGACGGTGCTGCAACACAGCCGAAGGCCAGAGACTCCTCAGTCCCTCTGTTCCCGGTTCCGGCCTCTCGTGTGACTGCATGTGACCCTTAGTTTGCTCTGTTCTCCCCATGGCCGCCAAGAACAACACACAGGTATTATTGACTCAGTGACTTCAGAAGGCTGTCAAAGGGAATCCGGGATGGAACCCTGCATATCCGTAAAAACAAGCAAAAAAAAAATTGTCCAGGGACTGGAGCGATAGCACAGCGGGGGAGTGCGTTGGCCTGCCACGCGGCCGACCAGGGTTCGATCCCCAGCATCCCATAGGGTCCCCGGAGCACTGCCAAGAGTGATTCCTGAGTGCATGAGCCAGGAGTCAGCCCTGAGCATCGTCCGGTGGGACCCAATCAGAAAGAAAGAAAGAAAGAAAGAAAGAAAGAAAGAAAGAGAGAGAGAGAGAAGGAAAAAGAAAGGAAGGAAGGAAGGGAAAAAAAGAAAATGAGCTGGAGCAATAGCACAGCGGGGAGGGCGTCTGCCTGGCACGCGGCCGACCCGGGTTTGATCCCCGGCATCCCATTGGGTCCCCCAAGCACCGCCAGGAGTGATCCCTGAGTGCAGAGCCGGGAGTCAGCCCTGAGCATCGCCGGGTGGGACCCCAAAAAGCAAAAGAAAACAAGGAAAAAATTCAGGGGTGGAGCAATGATCTAAGGGGTCCCTAAGATATTTCGGGGTGCGGGGAAGGAAAGGAAGGGAGAGTTGGGGAGACAGACAAGGGCAGAGGAAGAGTCTGGGAGCCGGGGAAGGGCTGGCTGGGAGCAGAAAGGAAGCCAGGCTGATGGGATTTGAGGCGTTCGAGGCATTTGTGAGCACAGGTCAGACCAACTTCTCTGGTGGGGGGCTTCACCTGAGCACAGGGCTGTGAGGGTTTGGGGAGGGTCTGCATCATCTGCATGTAGTTTGATGTCTACATCAGGTCGGACACTGGTGCAGGGACAGCCCCGTCTGGAGGATGCCAGCCCAGAAACCAGTGCAAAGGCAGCAGAAAAAAGGAAAAAAAAGGAACAAAAAAAACCCCAAAACTAGCCTTGATGTGCAAAGGAGACGCCAGGGGTAGGCTGCACCTTGCCAGCTGGTTCCCGGTGGTCTGTCTGCAGCGGGGCACGGGCCCGGCGAGGTGCCAAGCCTGCAGGCAGCGAGCTCAGAGCGTCACGGAGGCCGGGGAGGCCACCCCCAGCCCCCAGGGCCACGCAAGGACGACCACGTGTCGCCTCCCCACTGGCCAGCGCCCGGCCCTCGGCGCCCTCCCGTGCACGCGCCCCCCCACGCCCCTTCCCCCACCCGGGGGGCGCGGCGGGGCTGCAGGGCGGCCAGGCTGGGTGCACAGGGCGTGGACAGGACCCGGCTGGCCACCTCCCTCCCCCAGGCGTCTGGTCCACGTGTGCAAAAGTGGAGGCGGGGGGGGTCTCACCTGGGGGTCGCTTAGCTAGCTCCCTGCGGGAGGGGGTCGAGGGAGGCACCGACACTGACACTAAGGGGTGGGGGTGGCTGTGAGTCCGGCCCCGAGGGCCTGGGGGTGGACCCCCCCGGGCAGGGACCCGCGCGGAAGGCGCCCAGGACCCGCTGAGAGCGGCGCGAGCGCGAAGACTACAAGTCCCAGCATGCAGTGCGCCGGGCCGGCGCTCCGCGGGCGGCGCCGGGCGGCCGCGGTGCACGCCGGGACTCGTAGTCCCCGGGCCTGCGGAGGCCGGCCCCGGCACGCGCCCCGTCCCCCCGGCCACGTCGCCCGGCCGCCGGCCAATGGCGAGCGAGCGGAAGCGGCGGCGGGACGCGCCATTGGCCGGCCGGCCGGAAGGGGCGGGGCGGTCTCCCGGGCGACGACGGCGGAAGTGGGGCGGCGCGCGGAGGGCGGCGGCGGCGGCGGCGGTTCGGCTCGCGCCCGGCACCGACCCGGCCCGGCCCGACCCGACCCGGAGATGTGTCCCCGCGGCCGGGCGTGAGCGTCGGGCATGAGCGCGCCCCGCGGGGCCCCGCGGCCCTGGCGCCTGCTGGCCGCGCTCTGCCTGCTGGCCGGGGCGGCGCCCATGGGCCGCGAGGAGCGGCGGCGGCTCGGGTGAGCGACCCCGACCCCTGACCCCCGACCCCCCGACCCCCGACCCCGCCCGGAGCCCGCCCGGGAGCGCGCCGGGACGCCGCGGTCCTGCCTCCCCGCGCCCCCGTCCCCGGCAGGGACCCCCGCGACCCCCGACCCCGCGACCCCTGACCCTGCGCGGGACCCCTTGCGACGACCCCGCGGTCCTGCCGCTCGGCGACGGCGACGGCGACCCCCGATTCGACCCGCGATCCCGACCCCGCGGGGACCCCGCGACCCCGTGACCCCCCACCCCCGTACGAGATCCCCTTCGAGATCCCCTGGACCCCCAGCGACCCCGCACGGGACCCCCGCGCGGGACACCCCAGGCTGCAGGCGGGCAGGGCAGGGGTCGGGCACGGGACCCCCAGGCTGCAAATTGGCAGGGGTAGGGGTCATGCAAGGGACCCTCGGGCTGAAAGCTGGCAGGGGTAGAGGTCATGCACGGGACCCCCAGGCTGCAGGCGGGCAGGGCAGGGGTCCTGCCGGGACCCCCAGGGTGCAAGCTGGCAGGGGCTGGGGTCATGCACGGGACCTCTGGACTAAAAGCTGGCAGGGGTAGGGGTCGGGCACGGGACTCCCAGGCTCCAAGTTGGCAGGGGTAGGGGTCGGGCATGGGACCCCCAGGCTAAAAGCTGGCAGGGGTAGGGGTCGTGCACGGGACCCCCAGGCTGCAGGTGGGCAGGGCAGGGGTCCTACGGGGACCCCCAGGTTGCAAGCTGGCAGGGGTAGGGGTCGTGCATGGGACCCTCGGGCTGAAAGCTGGCAGGGGTAGCGGTCATGCACGGGACCCCCAGGCTGCAGGCGGGCAGGGCAGGGGTCCTGCCGGGACCCCCAGGGTGCAAGCTGGCAGGGGTAGGGGTCATGCACGGGACCTCTGGACTAAAAGCTGGCAGGGGTAGGGGTCGTGCACGGGACCCCCAGGCTGCAGGCGGGCAGGGCAGGGGTCCTACCGGGACCCCCAGGTTGCAAGCTGGCAGGGGTAGGGGTCGTGCATGGGACCCCCGGGCTAAAAGCTGGCAGGGGTAGGGGTCATGCAGGGACCCCGGGCACTGTCTGGGTGGACATCAGGGTGGCCCCCAGGGATTTTCCCCCCGGGCCCAGGCCGGGTCCTCCTCGGGGGTGGTGCAGGAAGGGGTGGGAGGCCGGTGGAGAAACCCAGCAAGGATGGAGAGAGAAAAAGAAATCGAGTTTCTTTTTATTGCTTTTTGGGTCCCACCCGGCAGTGCTCAGGGATCACTCCTGGCGGTGCTTGGGGGCCCCTAGGGGATGCTGGGGATCGAACCTGGGTCGGCTGGTGTGTGTGTGTGTGTGTGTGTGTGTGTGTGTGTGTGTGTGTGTCTTTTTGGGTCCCACCCGGCAATGCTCAGGGATCACTCCCGGCTCCGCACTCAGGAATCACTCCTGGCGGTGCTCGGGGGACCCTAGGGGATGCCCGGGATCGAACCCGGGTCTGCCCTGTGCCAGGCCAACGTCCTCCCCGTGGTGCTCTCACTCCAGCCCCTAGACTCGGAGGAAGATTTCCGCGTGTCGGCCCCGAGCAGGGTCCGGGGCTGTGGGCCAGACAGTGGCCGCCGCCGGCCCTGGCGCCTGCGGGAACCAGACCTCTGACTCACGGCCTTCACCTGCGCCTCTGACTTTCCCAAGCCCAAATAATGACTTATGATTAAGAAAATAATAAGGCGGGACACGCCCGGCCCTTCCCCCTCCCTCCCTCCCTCCCTCCCAGGCCCGACGCGATAAGGGGCCGTGGCGAATGGGGCAGCAGCTGCTCCAGCCACAGGGGACGCGCCCGCCCGCCCGCCTGCTGGCGCGGGGACGTGGTGACATGGTGTCACGGTCGGAGGAGATCCTGGTCACGCGCCTCCTGCTCTCTAAATCACAGCAGGAGCTGGAGCCAGAGCACGGTCGAGAGGGCCCAGGATCCATCCCCTTAAGGCTCTGCTTAGGGACACCCCTGCCCGAGCACAGAGCCAGGAGTGAGCCCTGAGCCCTGAGCACAGAGCCGGGAGTCAGCCCTGAACACAGAGCCAGGAGTGAGCCCCGAGCACAGAGCTGGGAGTCAGCCCCATGCACAGAGCCAGGAGCTAGTCCCGAGCACAGAGCCGGGAGTCAGCCCTGAGCACTGAGCCAGGAGTGATTCCTGAGCATAGAGCCAGGAGTCAGCCCTGAGCACAGAGCCCAGTGGGGTGATGTGGACGCCCTACTCGGCCCACCTTGGATGACGGGCTGTTTTTAAGGGGTTGTTACTACTCAGATGTTGTCAGGGTTTGACACCTGTGGGGGGTGTTTGGTCAGGACCGCCCAGCCCTGTCCCTGGTCCCCAATGTCCCATGGTCCGTGCCTACATGGGTGGCGCTGGGGACCGAACCCAGGGCCTCGCGCATGCCAGTTGGGTACTCTGCCCCGAGCCGCCTCCCCAGGCCCAGAATTCCCTTTTTTGTGACCGTGGCAGGATTGCAAGAAGCCAAACAAAAATGGTGGCCGGCCTCTGCCTTGAGCGTTGAGAGCAATTTTGTGCAGTGCGGGGGCCTTCACTGGTGCCAGGCGGGCGCTCTGCCCCCGGCCCTTGGCACGTGCTTCATTGTCGAGGCAAGTGCTGGGGACCGGGGAGGCAGATGGTCACTCAGACGCTGGGGCAGCGTGTGCCTTGGCTGGGAGCCGTTTGCCTGGGTGTAGACCGGGCCCGGCTCGCGTGGTTGGGGCCTAAACTCTGGTTCCAAACTCGGCACTTGGAGAGGTCGCCGGCGTGGCCGTGGCCGGCGTTGAGAGCGGGATCCCGGCTTGCAGGGAGACCGTCCTCTCCGGCCGCCGGTTCTTTGAGGAGTTAGAGGCCCCAGCTGGCTTTCTGGGGGCCATGGGGTGTCCGTCCAGCCATGCTCCGTGCTGGGAGACCACCTGGGAGGCGTTCGACAGGGCAGGTTGCAGACAGCACACGCCTTGGACGTGGGACCCTGTTAGCAAATGGGCGCTGAGCTGGGCGAGGTCGGGTGTGTGCTGAGGTGCGTTCCCTGAGGCTCTGGGGTGGACCCGGGCAAGACCCCCGCACACGTCCACACACGTGCATCCCTGCACACACACCCCTCACACATCCCCTCACACATCTCCTCACACGCCCCTCATACATCCCCTCACACATCCCCTCACACACCCATCACACACCCCTCACACATCCCTCACACATCCCTCACACATCCCCTCACACACCCCCACACACTCCACACACACCCCTCACACACCCCTCACACATCCCCTCACACATCCCCTCACACACCCCTCACATATCTCCTCACAGACCCCTCACACACCCCTCACACATCCCTCACACATCCCCTCACACACGCCTCACACAACCCCTCACACACCCATCACACACCCCTCACACACCCCTCACACATCCCCTCACACATGCCCTCACATACCCCTCACACATCTCCTCACACATCTCTTCACACATTCCCTCACATCCCCTCACACACCCTCACACATCCCCTCACACATCCCCTCACACATCCCCTCACACACCCCTCACACATCCTCTCACACATCCCCTCACACACCCCTCATCCCCTCACACATCCCCTCACACATCCCCTCACACACCCCTCATCCCCTCACACATCCCTCACACATCCTCTCACACATTCCCTCACACACCCCTCACACATCCCCTCACACACCCCTCATACATCCCCTCACACATCCCCTCACACACCCCTCACACATCCTCTCACACATTCCCTCACACACCCCTCACACACCCATCACACATCCCCTCACACACCCCTCATACATCCCCTCACACATCCCCTCACACACCCCTCACACATCCTCTCACACATTCCCTCACACACCCCTCACACACCCATCACACATCCCCTCACACACTCCTCACACAACCCCTCACACACCCGTCACACACCCCTCACACATCCCCTCACACACCCCTCACACATCCCCCTCACACATGCCCTCACATACGCCTCACACATCTCCTCACACATCTCCTCACACATTCCCTCACATCCCCTCACACACCCTCACACATCCCCTCACACACCCTCACACACCCTCACACATCCCCTCACACATCCCCTCACACATCCCCTCACACACCCCTCACACATCCCCTCACACATCCCCTCACATATCCCCTCACATATCCCCTCACAACCCCTCACACATCCCCTCACACATCCCCTCACACATCCTCTCACACACATCCACACACACTCATATATCTCCACACACATCCCTCACTCATTCACAAGCATACATCCCTGTGCCCATCCCTACACACATCCTCACACACATCTCACACATATTCACACACCCACTCCTGCAAAAATCACACACATCCCCTCACATATCCACACACATCACACACATGTTCACACACCCCTGCACACAATCACACACATTCACTCACACACATCCCTGCACACAGTCACATACACGCACATCCCCACACACGTTCACATTTCTCACACACGTTCACACACTTCCATATCCCATCCCCACACACATTCACACACACACACACATCCCCGCAAACATCCCTCACACATCCTCACACACAACACTTCCCCGCACACACGCGGCCCCCTGCTGCCTGCTGTGGTGGTTTCCAGTCTGGGGCCTTTTCCTAAAGTCCTCCTAGTTGTGTGAAAGGCAACAAACCAAACATTCTTAATGTTTCCCTCCATTTCTGCTCTCAACACAGGAATCAAGTCCTGGAAATGTTCGATCACGCTTTCGGGAACTACATGGTAAGTCGGGCGCTGCCCCCTGCCGCCCTGTTTTGTGTGACAGCTCCTGTGTGTGCACGTTGGGGCCGCCGGCGTCACTACCACACGCGTCACGGCACAGCTGATGGAACGTTCCCGGGAGAGCGTCGGGGGGAAGATGAGTCCGGGATAGTCAGGAGTCAGTTGAATCCGATCCCGGGACAGTTTCCTTCGGATGCTGTCAAGACTGTTTGAGTGTCGTCTGCAGTTGGGGATCATGGTGTCAACCTGGGCAAACCATTTCCAGTGCGACCTGACCCAGGAAGAGGCCCCTGTGGCCCCAGAACTGGCCGCGCCCTCCTGTCCCTGCTCCGAGCCCGGAGTGGACTTTGGCTGGAACTGTGTCGCGCCCAGATTAAGGCTGTTATTATTAACCGGCGCGGGAAGTCTCTCAGCTGTGCAAAGCAACTCTCTCGCACAGTCACGCGAGTGTCCTTAATGCCACCGAACTTAGGTTTCAAAACGGTTGCCGCCGGGGCCTGAGAGGGCGGGCACTTGGAGGTGGGAGATGGGACTCCTGTCCCCGCACTGGCTCCCCGAGCACTGTGCTGGGGCTGTCCTCGGAAACAAGCAAAAAACAAGCCAAAACAGAAACTATAAATAGTATCATGTGTTTTAGCACAATTTAAAATTCAATAGGGATTTTTTTTTTTTTTTGAGCATGGGAGAGCCAATTTTAGAGGAAGGAAGTTTTTTTTATTTTTTTGGTTTTGGGGCTGGAGCGATAGCATAGTGGTAGGGCGTTTACCTTGCACGTGGCCAACCCAACTGACCCGGGTTCAATTCCTCCATCCCTCTCAGAGATCCCAGCAAGCCACCTAGAGTATTTCGCCCGCAGGGCAGAGGCTGGCAAGCTCCCCGTGACGTCTTCCATATGCCAAACCACAGTAACAAGAAGTCTCACAATGGAGACGTTACTGGGCACGGTTGAGTAAATCGATGAACAACGGGAGGACAGTGACAGTGACAGTTGCTTTTTGGGTCCCACCCGGCGATGCTCAGGGCTGACTCCTGGCTCGGCACTCAGGAATCACTCCTGGCGGTGCTCGGGGGACCCTGGGGGATGCCGGGGATCGAACCCAAGTTGGCCGTGTGCCAGGCAAACGACTTCCCTGCTGTGCTCTCGCTCCAGCCCCGAGGAAGGAAATTTTACACAGGTGAATTTGTGTCATTTCAAGAAGTTGTCATTCTTCTCTGTTTCGGCGTTTAGAACGTGTCCCGGCGGGTTTCCTCCTGACTCAGGCCTGTAGCGTGGGGCTGGCAGTCCGGTGTGGCTCTGCCTTTGGCTGGTTCTGCTTTTCAGGGTTGGCTGGCCCCAGAGTCCCGTTGTTTTTTTGTTTTTTTTTTGGTCTGAATCAGGTGTCAGCAGTGTCTCGATGAACCCCTAAAGCACCTCATCTTTGTGGGTTTTTCTTTCTTTTTTTCTTTTGGTCTTTTTAAGCTTGTTTCATTATTTGGTTCTCGGTCCCATTTTGGTTGTCCTTTTTCTAAGAATACACACACATAGTTCCGCAGGGTGTTTTGAAGATGAAGTTCTGGGCATTCTAAAATCACAGGGAAACACATTCTTCATTTGATTTTGTAAGACCTCAACCATTCACCCAGCCGAGTGTATTTCTTTCAGAATCCGGACTTAATCCCCGGCCCATTCATTTTTGGGGGAAAGTGTCATTTTGCAGAGCTTGGCCTGATGGTGTCGTGACCTTCCCTGCACCCTCACACCTGCACCCGCCCACGAGAGCCCACTTTGCTCTCGCCAGCTGGATAAGATGTCAGAAAGCTGAATCGGGGGCCCATATAAGAGCACAGCGGGGAGGGCGTCGGCCTGGCACGCGGCCGACCCGGGTTCAATCCCGGGCATCCCATAGGGTCCCCCGAGCACCGCCAGGTAGACTCTGACGTCCAGGATGATTTTTCTTCGTATGGGAGTAGCCAGTTGTTTCAGCTCCGTCTGTTGGGGAGGTGTCCTTTCCCTCCTGCGTTAATTTGTTTCTTATTTTTTACTGTGTGTGTGTTAGGTCCCACCCGGTGATGCTCAGGGCTGACTCCTGGCTCTGCACTCAGGGATCACTCCTGGTGGTGCTCGGGGGACCCTAATGGGATGCCGGGGTTCGAACCTGGGTCTGCCACGTGCAAAGCAAACGCCCTTCCCACTGTGCTATCACTCCGTCCCCCAGATGCATCTATTTTTATTTTTCTCTTTTGTTTTGCTTTTTGGGTCCCACCTGGCAATGCACAGAGGTTACTCCTGGCTCTGCACGCAGGAATCACTCCTGGCGGTGCTCGGGGGACCCTGTGGGATGCCGGGGATCGAACCCGGGTTGGCCACGTGCCAGGCAAACGCTCTCCCTGCTGTGCTATCGCTCCAACCCCACCCCCTTCCCTCCTGATTTTTTTTTTCCTTTTTGGATCACACTTGGCGATGCTCAGGGCTGACTCCCGGCTCTGCACTCAGGAATTACTCCTGGAGGTGCTCGGGGGACCCTATGGGATGCTGGGAATCGAACCCAGGTCGGCCGTGTACAAGGCGAACGCCCTCCTCGCTGTGCTATGGCTCCAGCCCCTCTCTCCTGAATTTAAACCAGAATAACTGTGTTCACCAAGGAGGAACAGTTAACTGCCCGCAGGGTCTGTTACTAGTCTCTCTTGTTTCCTCCTCTTGGGCCTAAACATCCAGATTCCAGGGTCCTTTTGGGGGGAGGGGACACGGCACCCACAGTGAGGCTCAGGGCTCACGCACTCCTGGTGGGCTCAGGGGACAGAGACGGCCGTGGGGATCGAACCCAGGTCGGCCAGCGCCCTTCCCGCTGCCGGGGAGCCCGAGGCCAGGCAGTTCACGGGGCTCAGGTTGGGGTGTGTGTCGGGGCACAGGCAGCCCCTCGTGTCCCGGCCCGCCTTCTCGTCCAGGGCTCTCGCTGTCCTCCTGAAGCTGCCTCCTTGTGGCTCCCGGTCCAGCCCCGCCCGCCCGCGTCTGTTGGGGTGATGAGTTGTGCCTTGTGCTCTTGGGCTCCTGTGAATCACCCTGAGTTGTTCAGCGGGAACAACCTCTGGGAGCCTCTTCCTCCCTCCAGACCCGGCCCCCGGCGAGTCACCCTATTTGCAGGACGCCCGGGGTGGGTTCCCCAGAACCATCCCCGGGACGGCCCAGCCGTGCCGTCTGCAGCCAGACACACCCGACGTGTCTCAGGCCTGTCTGGGCTCCCCAGAGCAGAGCTGGGTCCCCTCGCTGGTCACCTGCCCCCTGCCAGTCGGCCCAGAGTCTTCACCGTTCCCGGCCACGGGAGTTCCCCCCAAAGGCTTGGTCTGCACCGTTCCGGGCCAGGGAGATAGCCCAGCAGGGAAGGCCTGGCACATGGCCGATCCGGGTTCGATTCCCGGCATCCCCTAGGGTCCCCCGAGCACTGCCAGGAGTGATTCCTGAGTGCAGAGCCGGGAGTCAGCCCTGAGCATTGCCGGGTGTGGCCCAGAACCCAGAAAGCAGGAAAGATGGGTGGCCGGCCAGCCCGTGGCCCGTCACTGCTCCCTGCTCTCACCAGGATGCTTGCTCCTGTGGTCACCCGCGCGTGGACTCCGGGTACCCGACTGCCGGGGGCGGCTGCTGCGTGGGGACAGACCTTCCGTGCTGGTGCCCGGTGGTCGGGGTCTGGGGGCGGGGGGAGTAGGAGAGTGTCCTCTCCGCGGCTGCCCTGGCACCTGCATCTCCCGAAAACGGGCGGTCAGCCCCGGCCACAGAGCCCAGCCCTGTCCCTTGCCCTCCTTGGGCGAATGTGCCTTTCTGTTCCCTTTTTCTTTTCCTTTTGGTAAGTGTTTGGGGTTTTTTTGTTTTGTTTTTGGTTTTTTTGCTTTTTGGGTCCCACCCAGCGATGCTCAGGGCTGACTCCGGGCTCTGCACTTGGGAATCACTCCTGGTGGTACTCGGGGACCCTAGGGAATGCCGGGGATCGAACCCGGGTCGGCCGCGTGCCAGGCCAATGCCCTTCCTGCTGTGCTATCACTACTGCCCTTATCTGTCTGTCTGTCTCTGTCAATCCAGCGATGCTCAGGGCTGGCTCCTGGCTCTGCGCTCAAAGAATCACTCCTGGTGGTGCTCAGGGGACCCCATGGGATGCTGGGAATCGAACCCGGGTCGGCCGCGTGCAAGGCCAACGCCCTCCCTGCTGTGCTATCGCTCCAGCCCCCTGTTTGGTTTTTTTTTTTCTGTTGGCTTTGGGGCCACTGCTGGCGGTGTTCAGAGCCCGGGCCCTAACCACTGCCCCATCTCTCCGGCCCCTGCACATGGTTCTCTGTCCGACGTTGGTGTCACCCTGAGAACACGCATCAGATCAGGGGTGGGACTTCAGCCCTTGACCAGCTTCGTAGTGGATCGGTGTTTTGTATTTTTTTTCCCGCAGGGGTGTGCATTTGTTCAGGGGTCAGGCTTAGAGTCTCGCGTGGTAGTTTGGGGGCCGCACCTGCCCATGCTCAGGGCTCTCTCCTGGCGCTTCTGTGTTCGATGCTGTCGGGGCTGTGCGGTGCCCTGCGGCCTGGCTTTGGGAAGGGCGCCCCCCTGGCTGGCGGCGGGTGGGCTGGGCTGTGGCGGGGCCTGGGGGGTGGCGGTGCAGGTCCCGCTCGCTGTCCGCCAAGGGTCTCGGGTGAGACGCTGGGGTGGGGCCGCCTCCCTGCCCCGGCCTCGCTGTCCCGCCCGGAGGCGGAAGCTGGAGCGTCCTGGCGGGGACCTTGGCAGGCAGCCTGGCCGCGCCGGGGCCGCGTGGCTGTTTGTTTTGCCACGTATGTCAGCCTGGCTCTGCGTGCGTGTGCCACCTGGGGTTAACCCCCGCGCGGCAGTCCCGCGCCTCTCTCGTCTCGAAACCGGACCCGCGAGTATTTTCATCCGGGGAGCGAAACTCCCTCATTTGCGTGTTCTGCTCTTGCCCGTGGCTGCTGATGTTTTTCTTAACGCGGACAGGCTTGGGGTTTGGGTTTCGTAACTGGCGGAAGACGGTTTGTGTCTGTGGCTGCGCGGACCTTGCGGAACCCTCAGAAGCAGAGCGGGAACTTCTCCCGGGGGTTGAAATAATGAGGAATGTTTTGCAAGCCCGTAAACTGGAGGCCCTGCGCTTAGGAGAGGGTTTTCTTTTTCTTTTTTCTTTTTTTGGTTTTTTGGGTCCCACCCGGCGATGCTCAGGGCTGACTCCTGGCTGATGCACTCAGGAATCACCCATGGCGGTGCTTGGGGGACCCTATGGGATGCCAGGGATTGAACCTGGGTTGGCCTTACCCACTGTGCTATCACTCCAGTCCAGAAGAGGGTTTTTTTAGAATTTGCCAACAAGTGTCAGAAGTATTTTTTTGGCCGGAGCCATAACACAGCAGGGAGGGCGTTTACCCAGCAGATCGGGTTCGATCCCCGAGCACCGCCAGGAGTGATCCCTGAGTGCAGAGCCAGGAGTCAGCCCTGAGCATCGCCAGGTGGGACTCAAAATGTGGAATTAAATAAATAAATAAATAAAAGCCACATAATTCTGTGCACAAACTCAGTATATTACACACACACATACACACACACACACACCAATGACGATATGATCATCATATTCTGAAAAGGAACCTTCCATAACAACCTGAATTTTGAGAACCAGCTACAGTAAAAACAAACAAAAACCACTGGTTTATAGGGGCTGGAGCGATAGCCCAGCGGGGAGGGCGTTTGCCCTGCACACAGCCGACCCGGGTTCGATCTCTGGCATCCCCTAGGGTCCCCCGAGCACTGCCAGGAGTGATCCTTGAGCACAGAGCTGGGAATCAGCCCTGAGCATCACCGGGTTGGACCCAGAAGACCAAAATAATAATATTAACAATAATAATAAGAAGAATCATGGGACTGGACAGATAGCACAGCGGGGAGGGCATTGGCCTGGCATGAGGCTGACCCGGGTTCGATCCCCGGCATCCCCGAGGGTCCCCTGAGCACCACCAGGAGTAATTCCTGAGTGCAGAGCCGGGAGGAAGCCCTGAGCATCGCCAGGTGTGGCCCCCCCAAACAAAGCAAGACAGTTCATATGTGTTAAACCTGAAATTGGAAACCGCAAGCACTGCCCTGCCGAGAACCTGCCTCCCAGGGTCCAGGCCCTGAGCGGGGGCTGGGCAGCCCAGCGGTGCCCTGCCAGCCCTGGGGTCCGCGCTTCTCTCCTCTGCCATGCGGATGATGGATGATGAAGTGTGGCGTTCCCGCCCCTCCTGCCCCGTGTGGGTGCTGATCATGGCCAGACCGTTGGTCCCGTCTCCCCCGGGAGTGACTCGCCTGGCTCTGAGCCTTCCCGGGCACCCGCAGGCTGCGTCCTGGCGGGCCCCGTGGTGGCGTCTCCGTGGCCGTGGCCCCGTGACTCAAGTGTCCCCCCCCCCCCCGCTCCTTCTGCAGGAACACGCGTACCCCGCAGACGAGCTCATGCCTCTGACCTGCCGCGGCCGCGTGCGGGGCCAGGAGCCCAGTCGGGGCGACGTGGATGACGCCTTAGGAAAGTGAGTGGGGGCCGGGGGTCTGGGGCACGGGGTGGGCTCCGGGGACGCCGGCCCTCTGCCCGCGATTCTGACACTCTGTCCTCTCGTTTCTTAGGTTTTCCCTGACACTGATCGATTCTTTGGACACGCTCGTGGTAAGTCGGGGCCTGAGGGGCTGAGAGAGACGTAAGGGTCTGGGAGGGCGTCTGCGGGTGGCAGGTCCCGAGAGGCCCTGGGGCTGGGGGTCCAGCAGGTCCGTCAGACCCTTGGTTCTGTCCACTTGGGCCGAGAGACCGAAGAGGGGAGAGACGGATCCACTGCCATCGTGTGTCTAGGGATTTGGCTCCCCTCGGCGATGCTCAGCACTGAGGAATCGCTCCTGGCGGTGCTCGGAGGACCCTCGGGGATGCTGGGGATCGAACCCGGGTCGGCTGCGTGCAGGGCAAACACCCTCCCATCCAGGCCTCCTGGCAGTTAACACCCGTGGGTGCTGTCACCTTGGTGGCAGGTCGCAAGCCCGGGGCCACGCCAAGGCCACAGTAGGAGCCAGATTGAGGGCCCCACGTGGGGCTGAGCCCAGGGGCACCCCGGGATCAGGGCAGGTGGTCAGGGGGTCCCTCGTCTTCCTGTGACGTTGGGCTCCTTCCGTGGGTCAGCTGCTAGAGTGGGGGATTGGGGTGTTTTAACTTGGACACTGGGCGCCTGGGCTCCCGGGCACTTCTGTCCTGTCTGCTGGCTTAGGGCGGTGCCCTGAGAGAGGCCTCGGGATCAGCTGCTGTTCTGGTTTGCTCAGGGCAGTACCTAGGCCTGTGCCATTTGTAATAGTCCTGAGAGACTGACGTGGTCCTGAGGTGAATAGCATGGTCCTGAGATGACTGACGTCCTGAGGTGACTGATGCAGTTCTGAGGCTGACTGACATGATCCTGAAATGACTGATGTGTTTCTCAGGTGACTGATATGGCCCTGAGGTAACAGATGTTCTGAGGTGACTGACATGGTCCTGAGGTAACTGATGTGGTCCTGAGGTGACTGACGTGGTCCTGAGGGGACTGATGTGGCCCTGAGGTAACTGTTGTTCTGAGGTGACTGACATGGTCCTGAGGTAACTGACACGGTCCTGAGCCTGACTGACATCATCTTGAAGGTGACTGACGTGGTCCTGAGGGGACTGATGTGGCCCTGAGGTAACGGATGTTCTGAGGTGACTGACACGGTCCTGAGGTGACTGATAGGCTCTCATCTCCTCAGCCTGAGGCTTGTTTCCTCGGTGACAGTCTCTCGGTCCTGTCCTGATGATGCTCTCCCCACCCCCCAGGTCTTGAATAAAACCAAAGAATTCGAGGACGCGGTGAGGAAAGTCGTGCGGGACGTCAACCTGGACAATGACGTGGTTGTCTCGGTCTTCGAAACGAACATCCGGGTCCTGGGGTAAGAGGGGGAGACAGGGACCCACCCCCTGCGCCGGCCCTCCCGTCCCCTGGGCCTGAGGCGGCCCATTACTGGCTTTTGAGGTCACACAGGTGGGGAGGGCGGCTTGGACATGGCGAAGTCCAGTGACAGGGCTGAGCCCAAGGGTGCATCGGCCGTAGCCAGTGCCCTGCAGGGCAGGAAGTGCCCACCGGGCCCTGCTGGGACACTCAGTCGTGTGCCCCTTTCTCACGTTTATCATTGTTGGTTGGTTTGGGTCCCACCCGGCGATGCTCAGGGCTGACTCCCACCGCCGTGCTCAGGAATCACTCCCGGCTGGTGCTTGGGGGGGACCCTAAGGGATGCCGGGGATTGAACCTGGGTCGGCTGCGTGCAAGACCAACGCCCTCTCCGTTGTGCTATTGCCCAGGCCCCCGGTTCATCACTCTTTATTGATTGATCGATTGATTGATTGCTTTTTGGGTCCCACCCGGCGATGCTCAGGGCTGACTCCTGGCTCTGCATTCAGGGATCACTCCTGGCGGTGCTCGGGCGACCCTAGGGAATGCCGGGGATCGAACCCGGGTGAGCTGCGTGCTAGGCTAACGCCCTCCTCGCTGTGCCCTGGTGCTGGCCCCCATCAGCATGACAGCCGAAGATCCCGCGGCCGAACGAGCAGGGCGGGGCAGGGCGGGGCGCGGCCGGCGCTGACCACGGTCCTCCGGGCAGGGGCCTCCTGGGCGGCCACTCGCTGGCGCTGATGCTGAAGGAGAAGGGGGAGCACATGCAGTGGTACAGTGGCGAGCTGCTGCGGATGGCCACGCAGCTGGGCTACCGGCTGCTGCCTGCCTTCAACACCACCAGCGGCCTCCCCTACCCCCGGGTGAGTCGCTGGCCCCTGGGCCCCGGGGAGTGACCTGCCCCCACCCAGAACCCCGGGAGAGACCTGCCCCCTGTCCCCCGGGGAGTCACCTGCCCTCCTTGGCCCCCAGACCCGGCGGGCCTCAGTTTCCCCAGGGCCGAGGAGGTCTTGAGGCTCAGGGCGGCTCCGGCCGGCCGGCGAGTGCCCTGGTTTTGTCCGGAATGGGCCAGCGCATCCATGCCGTGGGGGGCCTGCAGGTGGCCCTTGCTCGTGGCGGCCACCTGCAGAGGAGAGGCAGGCGGGTGGGCGGGGGCACAGCATGTCAGTGAAGACCCTTCTTCGGCCCCTGAGTCTCTGAGGGCCCCGGGGAGCGGCCGGTCTCGTCCTGTCTCCCAACTGGGTCACTTGTTCCTGTTACTCTTGAGTTGAGGTCTCGGTGGGTGGGCAGCCGGGTGAGCCCCGTGGGGAGGACTAGACGCTGTTCTCTGCATCAAGGGCCATGCGCGCGTACGGGGGACCTGCCGTAGGGAAGGAGCCCGCCCTGGAGCACGGCGCGGTCTGTGCTCGCTCCCGCCCCGCGTGTCGCCCGGCGGGAGGGACTGGCCTGGGCTCCCCGACGGTCCCTGGGCACCCCGGGTCGGGCGTGGCCCCCAGCCAGCAGGCAGAGGCCGGAGCCGGCGTCCCCGGCTCTGACCATGCGCCCCGGCCTCCTGCAGATCAACCTCAAGTTCGGCATCCGGAAGCCGGAGGCCCGCACGGGCACCGAGACGGACACCTGCACGGCCTGCGCCGGGACCCTCATCCTGGAGTTCGCCGCCCTGAGCCGCTTCACGGGCGCCACCATCTTCGAGGTTAGTGTCGGGCCCCTCCGGGGCGGGGACGGGGAGGCGGCCCGGGGAACCCCGCCCCGGCCTCGGGGTCAGTCAGGGCTGGGCCTTCCTGGGCGCCCACCCACGAGCCCCGTGACCACCACGGCCGCGTGTCACCCCCGGGCCCTCCCGCCCCCTCTCGCACTCAGGAGTACGCCAGGAAAGCGCTGGACTTTCTCTGGGAGAAGCGGCAGAGAAGCAGCAACCTGGTGGGCGTGACCATCAACATCCACACCGGGGACTGGGTGCGCAAAGGTGCGACGCTCGGGGATGGGACGGGACGGGACGGGACGGCGGTTCCCGGGTCCGCGTTTGGGGCTGCGCTGCCAGGCAGCGTCTGGAGGGATCAGCGGGGAAGCGGCCGGCAGGGACGCAGGGGACGGTCGCCAGGCTGATGCCCGTCATGGCGAAACAGGGTCGCCACTTCTGCCTGCCCCTCCCTCTCGCCCTCTCTCCTTTCTTTCTTCCTTTCTTTCCTTCCTTCCTTCTTTCCGTCTGTCCTTCCTTCCATCCTTCCCTCCTTCCTTCTTTTCCTCCCTTCTCCTTCTTTCTCCTTGGAAGTATTTTTGTTTCGTTTTGCTTTTTGGGGGCCACACCCAGCGGTGCTTAAAGGTCGCTCCTAGCAGTGCTCGTTGTGGACCCTCCGCGGTGCCAGGGATCACACCTGGGTTGGCCACATGCAGGGGAATTGTCACCGGCTGTTGTGTCTGCCCAGCCCCTGAGAATATTTTTCTCTTGATAACGGAAAATTGAGTTATTTGAGATTTTTTTATCATTTTATTTTTCTTTCTCTTTCTCTCTCTTTTTTTTATCTGTTTTGTTTTTGGGGGGCTGCTCACAGCTCAGGGTTTACTGCACTCAGGGATCACTCCTGGCGGTGCTCAGGGGACTGTCAGGCAGGCATGCCGGGGATCGAACCCAGGTCAGCTGCGTGCAAGGCAGTGTCCTGCCTGCCAACCTGCTGCTCCGGCCCCTGTTTTTCTCCCCTTCATTACACAGTTCCTCGTCCGCAGAAATCCTGTTTTCTTTGGCAGTGGGAGGAGAGCGGAGAAGGGCATTGTTGGGTAGCAGGAAGGAATGGAATTTCATGGGCGTGGTTGACCCGGGCGCCAAGTGCCCACGAAGGAACTTTGGGGGGAAAAAAATGCTTCAGGGCTGGGATGGGGCTCAAGTGTGTCCAGGTGTGCCAGGCTCTTGAATTTACTCCTTGGCATCACGGGGGTTCCCCAGACCTGCCAGTTAAGGCCCCAGTAGCCCGTTGGCCGCGTCAGCTACTCAGGCCCAGCCCCGTCTGCCAGAAGTGGCCCCTAAGAGGGAGAAAATGGAAAAACGTGTGGCAGTTTGTCCTGCTTTCAAATAAACAAGGTCTTTTATTTATTTTATTTATATCTTGCTTTTTGGGTCCCACCTGGCGATGCTCAGGGTTACTCCTGGCTCTGCACTGAGGAATTACTCCTGGCGGTGCTCAGGGGACCCTATGGGATGACGGGGATCGAACCTGGGTAGGCTGCGTGCAAGGCAAATGCCCTACCCGCTGTGCTATCGCTCCAGCCCCACTTTTATTTTTTATTTTTTAAAGAAAATGCATTAATAAAAGACAAAGCTCTCCTACAAAGGCACCATTGTACTGACGTGGCGTTTCTCCCTGTGGTGGTTCTCCTCGTTTCCTGCCGAGTCTCCTCCCTTCTCTCCGGTGCCCTGGTGCCCTCGCGGTCCTTGGACGCCCTCCTGGGCCGCGGGTGGGTGTGACGGGCGGCTGTGTGTCTCCCTCAGACAGCGGCGTGGGAGCCGGCATCGACTCCTACTACGAGTATCTGCTGAAGGCATACGTGCTCCTGGGAGACGACAGCTTCCTGGAGAGATTCAACACGGTGAGCGCGCGGGCTCTTCCGGGGCCGGGGGTGAGCTGCCGTTTCGGTCAATAATAAGGAGCACCGACGTGCGGGTGTTCAGTTGAGGCCCCGTGAGAGGCACAGTCACAGTGACCTGTGGTTGGATTCACTCACTCTTCGCCCCGTGTGCCAGCGCGCCTTGAAGGCCGGGCACGGTGGCCTCACCTCTGTGTCCTGCGGAAGTGTCCGAGCAGGTCCTGGCCCCCTGTCGCTTCACTGTGAGATCAGTGTCTACGAATGTGGGGTCCCTCTCCCCCCGTGCCCCAGGGAGGGGTCTTTGTGCCTCGCAGACCCGCGTCTGTCCCCTCCTTAGACTAGTTTTAGGAGTTATAGGGGTGGGGGGAAGCACATGAGAGCAGGACGTCCACCCCACACACACACTTCCCCAGGATATCTGGGGTCTCACCCGAGGGACAGCCCAGGTCACGGGCCCGGCAGGCGTGTTGTCCACTGATTTCTCGTGCTGGCTCCAGAGCCTGGCGGGGCCCCTCACCCCAGCCCAGGGCCAGCTCGGAGCCAGGACCGTGGGGGAACAGTATCAGGGAGAAGCGTTTGGGACAGACGGTCTTGGCCCCGGGAGGGCGGCAGCCAGGCTGGGGCTGCGGGTGACCGTCCCCCTTCCTGCCCCTCCTGCCCCGTCCTTGCAGCACTACGACGCCATCATGCGCTACATCAGCCAGCCGCCACTGCTGCTGGACGTGCACATCCACAAGCCCATGCTCAACGCGCGCACCTGGATGGACTCGCTGCTCGCCTTCTTCCCGGGGCTGCAGGTAGGGGGCTCTGCCCGGCACTCCCAGGGCCAGCAGGTAGGGGGCGCTGCCCGCCACTTCCAGAGCCTGCAGGTAGGGGGCGCTGCCCGCCACTTCCAGAGCCTGCAGGTAGGGGGCGCTGCCCGCCACTTCCAGGGCCTACAGGTAGGGGCGCTGTCCGCCACTTTCCCGGGGCTGCAGGTAGGGGGCGCTGCCCGCCACTCCCAGGACCTGCAGGTAGGGGGCTCTGTCCGCCACTTTCAGGGCCAGCAGGTAGGGGGCTCTGTCTGCCACTTAACGGGGCTGCAGGTAGGGGGCGCTGCCTCCCACTTCCCAGACCTGCAGGTAGGGGGCGCTGCCCGCCACTTTATGGGCCTGCAGGTAGGGGGCGCTGCCCGCCACTCCCAGGGCCAGCAGGTAGGGGGCGCTGCCCGCCACTCCCAGGGCCAGCAGGTAGGGGGCGCTGTCTGCCACTTCCCGGACCTGCAGGTAGGGGGCGCTGCCCGCCACTTCCTGGGCCTGCAGGTAGGGGGCACTTGAGCAAGTGGTAGTGTCAGGGGCGGCGCCGGGGTCCCCGTGCCCACGAGCTTCCAGGGACCGTCCCTCTTGCCTTGCAGGTATTGAAGGGGGACATCAGACCCGCCATCGAGACCCACGAGATGCTGTACCAGGTGATCAAGAAGCACAACTTCCTGCCGGAGGTGAGACCTGTGGGGGGGGGGGGGTCCCGGGGCTCCTCATCAGGGACGAGGGTCCCCGTCTTGGCTGGTTCTGTTTCCTCCAGGCCAGAGTCATAAGCGCAGCAGGGAGGGTGTTGGCCTGGCACACGGCCGACCCGGGTTCGATCCCCCGGCATCCCATAGGGTCCCCCGAGCACTGCCAGGAGTAACCCCTGTGCATCGCTGGGTGTGACCCAAAAAGCAAAAGAAAAAAATAAAAAAAAAATTTTGTGTAGGAAAAGAAGGACTTGGGGTGCTCGGGGCTGATTCCTGGCTCTGTGCTCGGGGCTGACTCCAGGCTCTGTGCTCAGGGCTCACTTGTGGTGCGACCCAGGGAGCTGGAACCCGGGTTGCGATCACTCGCCCCAAAGAGAGACGGACGGTCTTAAGCCCCCAAGTTGTTTCTGCGTGTCTGTGTCTGTGTCTGACTCTGCCCTGGAGTCACTCGCCCCCCCCCCCCCCCCACGCCCCGAGAGGTTTTCTGACCCGACCCGTCTCTGCGTGGCTCCCGCAGGCATTCACCACGGACTTCCGGGTGCACTGGGCCCAGCACCCGCTGCGGCCCGAGTTCGCGGAGAGCACCTACTTCCTGTACAAGGTGAGTGTGCGGCTCTGTGGCTTCGGGTCTCTGGGCTCCTGCTCCCGTGTCCTCGGCGGGGAGTCGGGGGGGGGGGGGTGGTTGTTGTCCCAGATCCAGGGCTCGGTCACTCGCACTTTTTGGGTCCCAGCCTGTTTACCGCCTTTTCCCCCCCCCCCAAAATTGTTTTTTCATGGACCCCAGAAATGTCATTCTTCCTCATAAACAAACAGGAAGTGCCCCCAGTGGCCCCCGAGGCTGCAGCTGGTCTGGGACCCCACCCCCACCCCCACCCCCTGCAGCCTCCTGTGACCGAGAGGTCTCCCTCGGGGACCCACCTCACGGGTGGGCTGTTGGCTCCTTGGAGCTGCTGCCTGAGGCTGTTCCGGTTCCTTCCGGGAGCCTTGGGGAAACCAGCGTCTTCCTGGGCAGAGGGGCCCAGTCTGGCCGGCCCGGCCCAGCTGACCTGGCTCTGTGCCATGGGCACCAGCCCTGACCCGGCTCTGTGCCATGTGCATCATCAGCCTGACCCGGGCCGGGCCAGCCGTGTGCCGTGTGCATCAACCCCGACTCTGTGCCGTGTGCAGTGCCGCCTCCTGCCCGGGCTGACCCTGCTCTGTGCCATGTCCCGGGGAGCCCAGTAGTAGGCGCTGGCTGACCCTGCCCTCTCCCACCCCCACAACAGGCCACGGGGGACCCCTACTACCTGGAAGTGGGCAAGACCCTCATCGAGAACCTGAATAAGTACGCCCGCGTGCCCTGTGGCTTTGCCGCCATGAAGGACGTCCGCACGGGCAGCCATGAAGACAGGTGAGGCCGGGAGGGGAGGCGCGGGTCGTCTGCCGAGGGCCAGGCTCTGTCCTCTGCCCGCTCCGGCACTCCCCCAGGGTCTCTGCCCTCCTGCGGGAGCCTGGGTGTTGGGTTGGCCCCGGGGATGTGGGAAGAGTTTGTGCCCCAGGACCCTTGCACCTCCTTTATGTTTTATTTTTTTTGGCCACCCCAGCGATGCTCAAGGCTGACTCCTGGCTCTGCACTCAGGGATCACTCCCAGCGGTGCTTGGGGGACCCTATGGGATGCCGGGGATCGAACCCGGGTTGGCTGTATGCCAGGCAAACGCCCTCCCAGTTGTGCTATCGCTCCAGCCACCCTTCCTTCCTTCCTTCCTTCCTCTTTTTTTTTTTTTGCTTTTTGGGTCCTACCCGGCAATGCTCAGGTCTGATGCCTGGCTCTGCACTCAGGAATCACTCCTGGTGGTGCTCGGGGGACCCTATGGGATGCCGGGGATCGAGCCCGGGTTGGCCGCGTACCAGGCCAACACCCCCTCTGCTGTGCTGTCACTCCGGCCCCTGATTTTTTAAAATGTCACCTCAGGGGCCGAGTGCCAGCCCTTGGGGGCGGTCCACACCGGCCAAGGACCCGGGTCCCGGCTTTCGGCCCCTCCGCCCCTCACGCGTGCCTCTGTGTCCCAGGATGGATTCCTTCTTCCTGGCGGAAATGTTCAAGTACCTGTACCTGCTGTTCGCGGACAAGGATGACATCATCTTCGACATCGAGGACTACGTCTTCACCACGGAGGCCCACCTCCTGCCCCTCTGGCTGTCCACCACGAACCAGAGCCTCTCTAAAAAGGACCCCGTAGGTCCCGGGCTTGGGGCGGACGTCTCGTTCGCTCTCTTCCCGTAGAAAGTAGCTCGTGATCGAGTCCAGCAGATCTCAGAGGGAAAGAGGGGCTGGAGCGAGAGCTCAGCGGGGAGGGCGTTGGCCTGGCACGCGGCCGACCCGGGTTCGATGCCCGGCATCCCCTAGGGTCCCCCGAGCACCACCAGGAGTGATTCCTGAGTGCAGAGCCGGGAGTCAGCCCTGAGCATCGCCGGGCGGGACCCAATAGTAATAATAATTTAAAATAATAATAATAATAATGTGAGGGGCTGGAGCCATAGTACAGCGGGGAGGGCGTTGGCCTGGCACGCAGCCGACCTGGGTTCGATCCCTGGCACCCCTAGGGTCCCCTGAACACCGCCAGGAGTGAGTCCTGAGCAGCGCTGAGGGTGGCCCCCCAAACTCCCCCCCTCAGAAAAACACAGAAGAGGCCAAAAGAATACCCGGTGTTCCTTGCTGGCTCCTTCGAGGGTCTCTGCACACGCCGGTGTGTCCCCAGGCCTTCCCCCCCCCCCGGAGACTCATGCTCGGGGCCGGCAGCTCTGCCCCCTCATCCCGCTGACCCCGACTCCCCGTCCCCACGCAGGCGGCCGAGTCCACGGAGCTGGACGACAGCAACTTCGACTGGACCTGCCCGAACACGCAGATCCTGTTCCCCAACGACCCGCTCTACGCCCAGAGCATCCGCGAGCCCCTCAAGAACGTGGTGGATAAGAGCTGCCCCCGGGACGCCGTCCGAGTGTAAGCCGCGGGGGGCCACGTCTCGCGGTCTTTGCCCTCACGGGGGTCTCTGCCGGAACGGGCTTTCTCGGTTAGCCCTGAGTTGGCTGAGCCAGCGTGAACGGTTGTCGTGTCCAGAGCACGTCTGGAGATGCCTCTGCCCGGTTTTGTTCATAGACGTTTAGAAAGCAGCTACCAGTTTTTCTTGGGGCCGGAGCGACAGCACAACAGGGGGGTGTTGGCCTGGCACGCGGCCGACCCGGGCTCGATCCCCGGCACCGCCAGGAGTGACTCCTGAGCGCAGAGCCAGGAGTCAGCCCTGAGCATCGCCGGGTGGGACCCCAAAAAGCCAAGACCCAAACAAAACCAAGAAAGGCCCTCGTTGGAGTGCGGAGAGAGTTCCGGGGTCCTGGTTGTCGCTGTTGCCTTTTGCCGGGCCGCTCTTGGCTGCTCAGGAAGGGTTTCGGCCCCCAGTGCTTCCTGTCCCCCCGTAGCTAACACTGGCGGGCCCACTAAACGGGGGGAACTTTTTTATTCTTGTGAGCGCCCTCCACTGACCTGTGTCGTTCTGCCTGATGAAGCCAGAGGAGGAAGACCGGGGTGGGGTGGGGCGGGGGAGGAGACGGTGCCACGGCCCCCCCGCCCCCGGCCCCTCCGGCCCCTCCGTGGCTCCCCGTCCCGTCTCTGCCCGTCTCCCCCACGCCGCCGGGCTGGCCGCGATGACCCCGTGCTCCGGCAGGGAGGAGAGTGTCCGGAGCGGGGCCAGGCCCCCGCTGCGGGCCCGCGACTTCATGGCCACCAACCCCGAGCACCTGGAGATCCTGAAGAAGATGGGCGTGAGCCTCATCCACCTCAAGGACGGCCGCGTGCAGCTGGTGCAGCACGCCATCCAGGTGGGCCGGCGCCGGGCGCCCCCGTGCGTGTGCGCGCGTGTGTGAGTGTGAGAGAGAGAGAGAGAGAGATTCCTCAGCTCCCCCTGCGTGTATGATTTCTCATCTCCCTCCGTGTGTGTGTGTGTGTGTGTGTGTCCATGTGTGTGAGATCCCTCATCTCCCTGTGTGTGTGTGTGTGTGTGAGATTCCTCGTCTCCCTCTGCGTGTGTGTGTCTCTGTATATGTGTGTTTGTGAGACTCCTCATTTCCCTCCGAGTGTGTGTGTGTGTCTGTGTCTATGTGTGTGTGATTCCTCATCTCCCTCTGTGTGTGTGTCTGTGTCTGTATGTGTGTGTGTGATTCCTCATCTCCCTCTGCGTGTGTGTGTCTGTGTGTGTGTGGGGGTGAGATTCCTCATCTCCCTCCAAGTGTGAGTGTGTGTCTGTGTCTGTGTATATGTGTGTTTGTGAGATTCCTCATCTCCCTCTGTGTGTGTGCGTGTCTGTGTGTGTATGTCTCTGTGTGTGTGAGAGCGACTCCTCATCTCCCTCTACATGTGTGTGTGATTCCTCATCTCCCTCTGTGTGTGTGTGTGAGAGAGCGATTCCTCATCTCCGTGTGTGTGTGTGAGAATCCTCACCTCTCTGTGGTTGTCCTGACCCGCTCTCTCCCTCTTGTGTGCTTGCCGTGTGGCGGGTCGGCCCCTCGTCTCCGGGGTGTAGTTGATGGTGCTCACTGCCCCACTCTTGGGTGTTTGTTGTTTCTCCTCAATACGTTAGTCTCCGACTGTGGGACAGATCTTTGCGCTGGGCGTGTCCGGGACAGGCGACATCTAAGGCCTCGGCCCTGCAGATGGGTCCTGTGGGGGGAGCTCGGGCGGGGCTCGGGTCTTCCCTTCCCGGTGCTCCTGGCAGGGATGTTTGTCCTCGGTTCCGGCCTCCCATGGGCCTGGGGTCGGGCCAGGGGGCTTCTGAGGCGGGGACTTGGGGCCACGGGGGGTGGGGGGGAGGCTGGGGCGCCCGCCGGGGGCTGAGTTCGCCGGTCCCGCGTCCCCTCCCCCCGCAGGCCGCCAGCTCCGTGGATGCCGAGGACGGGCTGCGCTTCATGCAGGAGATGATGGAACTGTCCAGCCAGCAGCAGAAGGAGCAGCAGCTGCCCCCGCGGGCCGTGCAGATCGTGTCCCACCCCTTCTTCGGCCGCGTGGTGCTCACGGCCGGCCCCGCCCAGTTCGGCCTGGACCTGTCCAAGCACAAGGAGGTGGGCGCCCCTGCGTGGTCGGGCGGCTGGTGGGGGCAGTGCTGAGCCAGGCAGGTGGCCCAGCAGCCGGCAGGTCTCCTGGCCAGCGTGACTCCCCCCTTCCCCCTCATGAAAAACCTAAACCAGGGGGCCGGAGAGATAGTGCAGTGGGCAGCGCGTTTGGGTCCGGAAGCGCACACCACGGAGATCTGGGGGTCTGTGTCCTCGTCGGGCCCCGGGAGGCGGTGGGGGGCTCAGAGCTCTCTCCCGGGGCCTCTTTCCCGTCCCTTTTGGGTTTTCAGAGGGAAAGTGGACGGCCCGTGGGCCCCCGGAGGCCGAATGTGGCTTTTCCGTGTCTCACCATGTTTTCTGGGTCCGTCTGGGTCGTGGCCGCGTTGCTCGTTGAGGCCGTGGCAAGGCCCAGGGGCCCGGTTCCGGGGTGTGGGGGTGCCTGGAGCCCACCCAGGGCCCCCGCGAGCGTTGCTGTCCCGTCTCCGGCAGACGCGGGGCTTCGTGGCCAGCAGCAAACCCTACAACGGCTGCTCCGAGCTCACCAACCCCGAGGCCGTGAGCGGCAAGATCGCCCTGATCCAGAGGGGCCAGTGCATGTTCGCCGAGAAGGCCCGCAACATCCAGAACGCCGGCGCCATCGGGGGCATCGTCATTGGTGAGTCCTCCCCTCCCTCCTCCCCCAACGGGGATCTTCAGATCGCCGGAGAAGTGTCCAACACCCCCCCCCCACACACACACACAAACGGATTTACAGCAGACTTGAGAATTTTGCCCCCACTCAGATTCAGATGCGAGGGGCCCTGGGGAGGGGGAGGTGAGGGGAGAGGGACGGGAGACCCCGCCCCAGGCAGCTGCGCTAAGGGGCGGAGGAAGACAGCGCCTGGGAGCACTGTGAGGGGAGCTGCTTCTCAGCCCCAGGGCTGAAGGTGTCCCCTCTGGTCTGCAGCCCTGGGGAGGCTGTGCCGTGTGTCCACGCTGTGGGGTGGACACAGGAAAGGCCACGCTCCTGAGGGGGCTTGTGCTCCCGAGTGAGGCGGGTCCTCCTGAGAGGGGTGGGTGCTCCCGAGGGGTGGGTGCTCCCGAGCGGGGTTGGTGCTCCCGAGAGGGGTGGGTGCTCCCGAGAGGGATGGGTGCTCCTGAGAGGAGCGGGTGCTCCCGAGAGGGGTGGGTGCTCCCGAGCGGGGTGGGTGCTCCCGAGAGGGGTGGGTGCTTCCGAGAGGGGCGGGTGCTCCCGAGTGGGGTGGGTGCTCCCGAGTGGGGTAGATGCTCCCGAGAGAGGCGGGTGCTACTAGCAAGGCTGGCTCTGTCTCGGCTGCAGCGCCCCTGCTGGTCGACTTTACCTGGTGGGTCTTAGCCCTTGGGTCAGCCAGCGAGTCCACCGTTGTGTCCTTCAGAGCCCACACGTTGTGCTCCGGTGGGCAGCCCGCGGGGGGCCGTTACCGTCCCTCTGCGTTAGGGAAATGGCCTCAGCGAGCCACGAGGTCCCGCCCCCTCTGTCCGGCTGTCACTTGTGCGGGGGCGTCCGTGGGGGGCTTTCTCTCTCGACGTTGGAGGCGGAGGGGGCGGCTGACCCTTGGGAGGCCAGCGGGTTCCCTCGGGGGACCAACCGTGTCCCAGCTGTCCCCTGGCGCCCGGAAACGATTTGATTTTTTCTTTTCTGGGAGGAAAGAAGAAAGGGAGGGGAAGGTTTGTGTCTTCAGGTTTTCACTTTATATGTTATAATGTTGCAACTTCCTTTTCTGAAGCTTTGCGGTTTTGGCGGTTGTGTTTTTTTTTTTGCTTTTGGGTCCCACCCAGCAATGCTCAGGGCTGACTCCCGGCTCTGCACTCAGGGATCACTCCAGGTGGTGCTGGGGGGGGGGGGACCCTCGGGGATGCCGGGGATCGAACCCGGGTCAGCTGCGTGCCAGGCCAACGCCCTCCCCGCTGTGCTGTCCCTCTGGCTCCCCTGAAGATTCTGCTTCCACTGAAGCCCCAGCGCGGCTTTGAAGGGCTTTAGTCACCGGGTCATTTGGGACAAGTGTGGAGGCCGCAGTGCTGGGAGAAGCTGGACAAGGCACCCGGGGCACAGGAAGCTGCTTGGGGGGGGGACAGCCCCAGGCCTGGGGGGAGCAGCGCCCTGGCCACACCCGGCCGCGCCCAGGGCTCGGTCCAGGCAGGCTTATAGGTCAGACCCACAGCTTCCTTTGCTCGGACCCCGACAGGCCCAGAGGAGCTTGGAGGCAGCAGGTCTGGCCCTCCCCTCCCCTCCCTGCGGACCCTGCCCACCCCAGGTCGCACCACCAGAGGCCACGCCCATTCCCTGTTCCCAGCCCCTTGGCTCCACCCACCCAGGCCCCTGAGGCCCCGCCCACTCTCAGTTCCCAGGTCCCTAAGGCCCCGCCCTCTCAGTTCCCAGGCCCGTGACCCCGCCCACTCAGTTCCCAGGCCCTCGAGGCCCCCCCACTCAGTTTTTGGGCCCTTGGCTCCTCCCATTCAGTTCCCAGGCCTGTGACCCCGCCCACTCAGTTCCCAGCCCTTGGCTCCTCCCACTCAGTTCCCAGGCCTCGAGGCCCCGCCCACTCAGATCCTAGGACTCTAAGGCCCCGCCCACTCTCAGCTCCCGGGCCCTTGAGGTCCCACCCACTCTCAGGCCCCTGAGGCCCCGCCCACTCAGTTTCCAGGCCCGAGGCCCCACCCACTCAGTTCCCAGGCCCTCGAGGCCCCCCCCCCACTCAGTTTTTGGGCCCTTGGCTCCTCCCATTCAGTTCCCAGGCCTGTGACCCCGCCCACTCTCAGGCCCCTGAGGCCCCGCCCACTCAGTTCCCAGACCCGTGACCCCGCCCACTCAGCTCCCAGGCCAGAGACTCCGCCCGCTCTGGTCCTGGGACCTTGGCTCCTCCCATTCAGTTCCCGGGCCAGTGACCCCGCCCGCTCAGTTCCCGGACCCTTGGGGCCCCGCCCACTCTAGGTTCCTGGGCCCTCGACGCCCCGCCCACTCAGTTCCCAGGGCCCATAGGCCCCGCCCACTCGGTTCCCAGGCCAAGGCCCCGCCCATTCCCCCTCCTGTCCTTGTCTCCATCTTTCACTGTGGCCCCTCGGTTGATGGGCGTGGCCGCTGTAGCCCGTCTGCACTGCAGCCCACCCTGCGGCTTCCTGCCGGGCTGTGCCAGCACCCCGAGGCTGGGCGGGCTGTGGGCTGTGGGTGGCCGCGCCGTCCCCCCGGGGCCCCGGGCCGGGTGTTGGGGGGTGGGAGCAGGCGCTCCACCCAGCCCGGCGGCGGCCCCTCACTCGGCTGTGTCCCTTTCCTGGCAGATGACAACGAGGGGAGCAGCAGTGACACGGCCCCTCTGTTCCAGATGGCGGGGGACGGCAAGGACACGGACGCCATCCGCATCCCCGTGCTCTTCCTGTTCAGTAAGGAGGGGAGCATCATCCTGGACGCCCTGCGCGAGCACCAGGCCGTGGAGGTGCTGCTCTCCGACAGGGCGCGCGACCCAGGTAGGCGGCACGCTGGGGGACACGCACTCTCACGCACGGGGACACACGCAGGGGCACACACACACACACGGGGACACACGTGGGGACACAGGGACATGCACACATTGGGGACACGCACACGCACAGTGGACACACAAAGGGGTCACCCACACAGACATATGGGGGACACACACACACACACACACACAGGGACACATGGGGACACGCACAAACACACACGGGGACACGCTCAGGGGCACATACACACACAGGGACACACGTGGGGACACAGGGACATGCACACATTGGGAACGCGCACACGCACAGTGGACACACAGGGGGACACCCACACAGACATATGGGGGACACACACACACATACATGGGGACACACACGGGGACACGCACACATACACACGGGGACACACCTACGGGGGACACGGCACACACGGGAGGGCGCAGGGATGCATACACGTGGGGAGATAGCATGCAGAGGCACGCATGCAGACGTGCAGGAACACGCACACACGTGCACACAGGCGGGGACACACGTGTGCTCAGCCAGCCCGTCCCGGCTCTCTCTGAAACCCCGTCAGCTCCCCAAGCGTTTCCGCCTCCAGTAAGTGCCGGTCTCGTACCTCGGGGAAGCGACTGTGCAGGAGAATGACACCCCCGAGCTGTGGGCAGAGTCCCAGGGTCCGTCTCGGGCGCTGCGGGCACCCGGGAAGGGGCTCCCGGCCGGCCCGAGACCCTCTGCCGGGCACCGTATGCGTGCAGGAGCTCCTGGGGGCGGCCCTGAGGGGGGCTGCTGTGTCCAGTGGAGGACGAGGCTTGGGCAGCACGGGGCTGACCCGCACGTCCGCACACCGCCTGGCGGGCGTCTGGGCCGGCGGAGGAGTGCAGGCGGGTCTGTGCGGCACACGCGGCCTCGCCCGCCGGGGCCGGGCCCTAACCCTCGCTTTCCTCGTTTCTGCTCCCGGAACGGCAGCCGCCTTGCTCGGGGGCAAAATGGTGCCCAGCTGCATCCTGAACAGGAGTAAGTATCGTGCACTGAGCACCCTCAGGGTACATGTACGGGCACGGGAACTGCCGCGGGCACGCAGCTGTGCACGCATGCGTATATGTGGTTACGTGTCTGCAGGCATGGACACGCGTGTGCATATATGTGGGTGCGTGCCCTAAGGTTCCATGCGTGTACGTGCCTGCAGGCACGGGCACGCGTGTGCGTATATGTGGTCACGCATCCTCGGATCCCATGTGTGTTGTGTACCTGCAGGCACGGACACGCGTGTGCATATATATGGTTACGTGCCTGCAGGCATGGACACGCGTGTGCATATATGTGGTCATGTGCCTGCAGGCATGGACACGCGTGTGCATATATGCTCTCTTTGCTCTGTGTCTGTGATGTCGCCGCCTGCCTGGTTGAACGTCCCCGTCTGTCCTTCCAGCACATCCCTGGCAGGCGCTGGGGTGGGTCCTGCCCGACTCACTGGCCTTGCCGCCTCCGATGCCCCCGTCGGGGCAGCCCCCTGGGAGCTGAGCCGCTGAGCGGACTTGCCCGGCCCAGTCAGCGTGTGCTGATGGGGGTGGGTCCTGGCCCGTCCACTGCCCAGGGGAGTGTCGGCCCCTCACGTCCAGTTCTGGCTCCCCACGCCTCGGGTGGCCTCTTCAGCTGCTCCAGCCGGGAGCAGGCGGGAAGCACTCGGCCGCCGGGACGGAGAGGGACAACCCCCGCCCCCACCCCCGAATCCCGGTGTGTCTCTGTGTGCGGGTCTGTGCGTGTGTAGTCTGTGTGTGCCTGGGTCTGTGTGTGAGTCTGAATGAGTCTATGCGTCTGAGTATGTGTGTGAGTCGGTGTGTGGGTCTGTATGTGAGTCTGCGCGTGGGTAGTGTGCGTATGCGTGTGTCTGTGTGTGAGCCTGAGTCTGTGTTTGTGTGAGTCTGTGCGTGTCTGTGAGGGTCTGTGTGTATATCTGTGTGTGAGTTTGTGAGTCTGAGAGAGTCTCTCTGTATCTGTCTGTGTCTGTCTATGAGTCTGTGTCTATGTGTGTCTGTATGAGTCTGTGTGTGTGGGTCTGTGTCTGTGAGTCTGTTTTTGTGTGTATGAGTCTGTGTGTGAGTCTCTGCATGTGTGTGTGTGTCTCTGTGAGTCTGTGTTTGTGTGTCTGTGAGTCTCTCTGTGTATCTGTCTGTGTGTGTCTGTGAGTCTGTGTCTGTGTGTGTCTGTGTGAGTCTATGTGTGTGAATCTGTGTATGTTTGTGTGTGTGTCTGTGTATGTCTGAGTCAGTGTGTGAGTCTGTGTGTGTGTCTGTGTGTGCGTGGGTCTCTGTGCGTGGGTCTGTGTCTGTGTGATTCTGTGTTTCTGTGAGTCTGTCTTTGTGTGTCTGTATGAGTCTGTGTGAGTCTCTGTGTGTGTGTGTCTGCAGGTCTGCGCCGTGAGACCCCCTCTCTCTCTCCAGGTGGCCTTGACTGGCGTCCCTGAGGCGGGGGAGGCCAAAGCCGTGCAGGCCGAGGTGGGACCCGGCGGGTGGGGCTGGACTCCAGGTGGTCCAGCCGAAGGAGGCCCCTGGGGCGGGCGAGGGTCCCCTCTGGGGCTGCCTCACCTGTCCCCACCCGCCGCCCGGGCTGCCGTGAGCCAGAGCTGGTGCTGGTCAGGACTGACCCTAGGTCACCCTGTGACCCCCGCCCTCTGCCCTCTGGCTCTCCTAAAGACCCCGCGTGTCCCTCAGAGGTGTCCCTCAGAGGTCCCCCAGGGCCGCGTGCTGGCGCCCCTGTGTCTCCGGGCAGTGTCTGGGTTCCTGTTCTGCTTCCGGCAACGCTCTGCGCTCGGCCCCGGCAGACGCTCGTGACGGCCGGGCACTGCCCCTGGCCACTCGGGCGCTGGGCTTTGGAGAATGCTCCAAGGGTCCCGGCCCCTCTGGGCTGCAGTAATGGTGTCGCGCCCGGAGAAAGGCCACGAGACTGGGCGCCCGGGGTGTGGCCGTAACCGAGATTGTCTGAGATGCGGTCGGGTGGCCAAGGACTTGGGGGGCCGGCGTGGACCTGGGACCCCTCCTGCGCGTCTGTAGGGGTTTCTGCCCTTTCGGCCCTGTCCTCTCCGAGATTTCATCCTCTTCGTAGTTTGGCTTTTGCTGAGGTGACAGGAAGGGGGAGCAGAGGCCCTGACCGGGCCCACTGGACGTCCGGACTGGTGCTCTGTGGGGGGCCCTGTGGGGACCCCTCAAGGGTCTGGAGGGGGCTGGGAGGGGCTCTGGGGGGCGGCGTAGAAGCTTCCCCCAGCCCGTGGCTAGCCCCCAGCCCTGACTCCGTCCCAACGCCCGTCCTCACCACCGCCCTCCAGGAGCACTGCGGGTGGAGCACCTCCCATCCCGGAGGGCCACGTGTGTGGGGTCGGGCACTGACACGCGCTTCTCCCTCACCAGACGGCGAGACAGAGGCCGAGGAGCCGCCCAGCCCCGGTGAGGACTCGCCGGCCACCTCACCTGAGGACAGCGAGACGGACCCCGGCCCCGAGCCCCCCGGGCTGGCCCCCGACGGCCCCGAGCCCCCCAGCCTGTCAGAGGAGTGCAGGGACGCGGACGCGGGCGTGGACGGGGGGGACACGGACAGGGACGTCTCTACGGACGCAGAGAGCGCCGCGGACTCGGACCCGGGCGCAGATGAGCCGGACCAGGACACCGACTGGGGCCGCGAGAGGGAGCAGCCCCTCGACTCCATCCTGGCTGACTGGAGCGAGGAACTCGAGGTCCTTGAGCTGATGAAGAAGGACGAGCTCTAGGGGGGCCCGAGCCCCCCGGCCGGGCCTCAGGGAGGTGGTGGGCCGGCCCCCCCCCCGGTGGGAGGAACTGGAGGTGGCGTCTGGGCCCCCCGTGGGAGCCAGAGGGACCCAGTGTCCACCCTGGGGATCTGGGCCGACCTGGGACGCAGGGGAGGGGGCTGGCCCCACCCCACGGAGCCCCTCCCGGACCCGCCGCTGCCCGTCCAGTGCCCTGGGGGCCTATGTGGACCCCGACCCCAGGGCCCTTGAACCTGCCAACCTCCTCCCCTGCCCGTGGGGACCATGAACTGCCACTCGCCCGTTGGCCGTTGAATCACGGGTCCGAGGGTGGAGCTCCGGGAAGGTCCAGCCGTGCAGCCAAGAGCGGGGCTCCTTCTCCCCAGGACCTGGGGGGGCGGCATTCTCCACTCAGTCGTCTGTCATGGGAGTCACGCCTTCCGGCCTCCGTGCTTCTGGGCGGCCCTCGTGGCTGGGCCTGGCGACCGCGTTCACCACCTGCTTCCCCCAGGCCTGGGGCCCGCCGGGCAGGCGTTGCAGGGCAGCCTCAGGGAGACCAGGGCATGTCGTTGGCCTCAGGCCAGGCCCGACCTGGGAAGGCCCCTCGGGGCTCTGCTGTGGGGTCCCCCTGCGGCCCGTGGGACCTCCAGGGGTCGTGGGGCCCTTAGCGTGGCTGGCCGGTGCCAGGAGCCTTCTAGCCTCTGACTTGATTCTGTCCCCAGAGCCCTTGCGGGGGGCGGGGGGAGGGGTCAGGCCCAGCGAGTCTGTCCGTCCTTCGGTCTGTCTGAATCCATCCTGTGGCCACCAGGGGGCGCCGTCGCCATCCCAGGAGCCTGGAGACGCCCCCCACCACCACCACCAGAGGTCCCCACCCCCAGCCTCCACCTTCCGCTCCCAGACCCACCAGACCCACCCACCCGGCTGCCTGCCTGCCGGGCATGAGTTTTCCTCCACATTTCATTTTGCTTTCCTTAATTGACGTCCTAAATTGGGGTGGAGGTGGGTGGGGGCTCTCGAGACCCCAAGTCCTGGGGCCGTCTGGTCTACCTCAGTGAGCCGTGGGCGCCGCAGAGAGGGCCTGGGGCTGGTGGTGGCCGTGGCCGGAGTCGGGGGGGCGAGGGTCCCCTTTGTGACTCGGACACCAGGGCAGGGGTATCCCGCAGGGGGGGTCATGGGGCTTCTGGGTAACGTGTTTAACTAGAAATGCTGCAATTCACAAAAAAATGTCCAATTCCCCCCTCCAGCCCCTCACCTCGCTATGCTCGTTCCCTGTGCAAAGGGTCAGGTGTGAAGGCATCGGGATAGAGAATCCATCCGTTGGGGAGAGGAAATTTCGTTAGAATAAGGTGTTTGTCCTCTTTTCTCTTTAATTATTAATAAGCTTCCAGCAAGACAGCAATGGTCATTTCAGAACAAAATCTTTGAAATCGTATGCTTCCTTTTTTGTTTTGTTTTTGTTTTTCTTCACAGTATTCGAAAGTAAAACAAAAATTGCGCACTCTGATTTATTTTTTTTTTAAAGCTTCTCTAAGATGCAGTTGACCTGGAATGTTTTATTTAAACAACCATCAGACAAATTGGGGTGTTGTTGTTTTTAACAGCAAAACCAGCATTTTCCCTCTAACCAGACCCCATGCCAAATTTTTACAAAAGACAAAGGCTCAGCTCGGGGGATTCCGGTCATACTCCTGCGTTTAGGGGCGGTGGCGGTGGAGGAAATCTTCAGGCAGTTGTTTTAATGCACAAAGCTTCAGTCAGAACGTAGAGAGAGGAAAAAAAAACAAACAAAAAAAAAACATTCTGTGAATGAAATAATTGTATGTGCAGATTTTATAAAAGACATTTTTAAACGCCCAATTTACAGCCGTCTATTTTCTTATGATGTAATTTATGAAACCGTTGTCTGCGTATAGGTGCTGGGTGACGCTGTTTGGTGGAGTTTGTCGTTCGCTGATAAATGTGTACATTCTTTCTAAGGGAAACGCCGTACTGTGATGTATAAGTCTGGGCAGATTGTATATAATCCGTGTACATAATTGTGTATTTGATTATAATTACTGATTGTAAAGATTTAATAAAACATGTAAATATACCGGGATCTGGTGTCATGTGGGTTTTAACCTCAATGGCACGTCTCTTAGATTTTTTAAACTAGTTTTTCTAATTTTTTTTTATTTT